CATTCGCCAAAGTACATGTTAGTTCTAGAAGCGTTGCGTCATAGTAGTCATGTGACTCGCTGACGCAACAATATCTTCAAACCTTGCAAATATTAAGTACCAACTCACATATTAAAGAACAACTATCAACGTACATCGTAAACAACAAAACTTGAAACAATGTATTTGTTATTTACCTACTTTTACCATAAACATCATAATTTTAAACCTTGAATGTGTTAACTAACAACCTATATCGTAGCCAACAAGACTTCAAACCATGAATCTTTTAAAAACAACAATCTAAATCGTAATCATCATAACTTCAAATCTTGAATCTGTTAACTACCAACCTACATAGTAAATAATTGAATTATTGACTATCAACTATATCGTAACCACATAGCTTCCAATCATGAATGTGTTAAAAAAACTTATATCGCAAACATCATAAGTTTAACTTTGAAGTTGTTAATGTTAAATACAACCCACATCGTGAACAACATAAATTCAAACCTTCAAACTCTTAACCACTAATGTACATTGTAAAGAAGATATAACTTCAAACTATGAATCTGTTAAAAAGCCAACCTATATCATAAATATCGTAACCTTGAATCTGTTAACTACCAAGATATATCATAAACATCATAACTTGAAACATGAATCTCTTATCTTAAAAACCTATATCGTAAATAACATAACTTGAAAAATCAATCTGTTAAAAAACCAAGCTATCGTAAACATCATAACTTCAAACTTTGAATTTGTTAACTACCAAACTGTTTCGTAAAGAACACAACTTTAAACATTAAATCCGTTAACTAACATGGACAACCAAATTCAAACCTAAAAAGTGTTAATTGCCAACCTACATAGCCAATAATATAACTTCAAACATTAGATCTGTTAACTACTAACCTAACTAACCATAATGTTGCGTCAGCGAGGTCACGTGACTAGTGTCACGCCTCGTTTCTAGAAGTATCTTGTTCCTTCGTGAATGCCCTAGCATTTACTAGATATAGGGTAGTCTGGTATATATAAGATGGTCACGGCGTGACGTGACAATAATGTGTGTAGGTAGTGAGTAATTGAACTGCAGTCAGGAAGTATTGTTGAAGTTAACGTAAAAGAGCGACTGTTGAAAATAAGTGTATCGGTAAAGTTATATTCAGAAAGAATAAACCAGTTTTATTAAGTAAGGACTTGTGTCGCTAAAGTTTCGTCGGAACGAATTTACGGAAAATAAATTAACGACTGGAGACGTAACAATAATTATAAACTTTCGATGTGGTAACTATCAATATACATTGTGAAGAGCAAATATTTAAAATCATGATGTGCTTCATATTAATTTATATACATAGTGAACAAAATGACATTAAGTTTTGGATGTGTTTAATATCAAGATACATTGTGAACAACATAACTTAATACTTTAGACGTGTTAAGTAAAGAATACATTGTGAACAATATAACGTAATACTTTGAATGGGCTATGCATAAAGATACAATGAGAAAAACATAACTTTAATCTCTGGATATGTTAAATAGCAAGATACATTCTGAACAATAAAAGTTTAAACTTTGGACGTGTTAAGTATCATGATGCACACTGAAAAACATAACTTTGAATTTTGGGGGTGTTAAGTGTGATAATATTTTTGAACATAACTTTAATCTCTAGAACGTTAAGTATTGTTACGTCTCTGTTCGTTAGTTAATTTTCGGTAAATTCGTTCCGACGAAACTTTAGCGACACAAGTCCTTTCTT